AAATGTGGATGTGTAACCGATGTGATTCTGCAATCTGTATTTGGGGTAAAAATGGGAGTTCATAACTCACTTGAAGCTAATGCATGAAATATGATATGTCAAGAGCTTTGTAAGGTTTTGAACAACCAATAAAAAAAAAAGATTTCATGTACTTCAAAGTCAAACATAGTAGGTGACTTATGTTTAAAGGTCCTTATGAGGTAGGATTTAACCTGTATGGAATAATCAATGAACTGAAGGATGTGTGTGAAAAAGGAGGAGTACAGAAATAAGTTAAATAAAACAAAGGAATTGGAAATGAAATACCAACTCATGTTGATAAATTAAAGTTAGCAGGTGGTAGATTTGAAAGAATATCTGTATATGACTAAGGATTCACCATTCATATTGAATCCAAAATCCTGAAAGTTTGCAATCTTGACCATATTATTGAAAAGTTTCCTCRTTACATTTCCACCTTACAAATGACTTTTCCCTACTTATTTGGATAAGCTCTGACAACTGAGAATATTTTTCTTTGTATACCTTAGCTACCAGTTCTTTTTGCTTCTGTTTGTAATTTGGTGCAAAGAAAGAAAAGCCATTAAGTAGAACCAAGCTAATGAGTTATAGCTATATTTCATGCTTGACCCATAGAAAACTGGGACTAGGTATTTTAGTTTGTTTGTTTTGTTCTGGTTATTGATTGTTTTTATAATATTGAGGATTAAATACAGGGCCACTTTACCACTGAGCTACATCCTCAGTCCYTTTGAGATAGGGTCTTGCTTGAAGCTGGCTTCGAACTTGCAGTCCTCCTGCCTCTGCATSTAAAGTAGCTGGGATTGTAGGCAAGTGCCACTGCACTCACTTGGATCTGTTTTTAGGACAAAAAGGACATTATAATAGGTGTTGTTTGAAGCTACTAGTGATCACATTGATTTACTTTAATATTTGCAAAATCACTTAAATTTTCTGCTTATGTCTCTTTTTAGTGGGAAAAGTGTAATAAAAGGCTGTGGTAGCATAATTTATCATCTGCTTTTCTTCTTCTTCACCTGTTATTTTTCCGTTGTGGAAGCAAGTATTCTGTTCTAGGAAYATAATTTATTTTGAAACATATTTTAACAAGAGTTTTAAATTATCTATATGTATCTTAGAAATTCTCTTAGGAATATTTAGGAATATGTTTGAAGGACATAATAAAAGTACCACATTGTAGGGTGCAGTAGCATATACCTATAATCCCAACTACTTATGAGGCTCAGGCAGGAGAATCCAAAGTTTGAAATGAACTTGGGCAATTGAATGAGACCCTTTCTTAAGATAAAATGAAAAAGGCTGGGGTTATAACTCAGTGATAGAACAATTGCCTAGCATGCATGAGACTCTCAGTTCCATCCACTGCACCAAAAAAAAAAAAAAAAAAAATTTAAGATTGCCAAATACCAAAAACAACCTGACTCTCCAAAAGAAGAATTAAATAAATTGTTCAGACAGGCAGTATAATGTAGAGGAAGCAGGATTACTGTTTTACTTTTTCATTACTGTGAGACTAAAACACCTCATAAGAACAATTTAGAGGAGAAAAAGTTTATTTGGGGCTCATGTCTCAGTTCATAGACAGCCAACTTCATTGCTCTGGGCCTGAGGTGCAGCAGCACTTCATGGTGAAAGTGCCCAGAGGAGTAATGATGGAGTCAAGAAGCAGAGAGAGGAAGGGGCCTCTGAATGAACAACCTTTCTATTCCATGCCCCCAGTGACCAAACTCTCCAGTCAGACCCCCACCTATCTACAGGTAGCACCCAGTCCATTCAAACTAGGACAGAATGATTATGTTGCAGCTCTCACAATCTGATCGTTTTATCTCTAGACATTCCTGTATTAACAGGAGTTTTGGGGGAACACCTTCTCTCCAAACCATAATAATGATGGAGTATGATCCCTCCATAGACAGGTGCTTGGAAAAAGCATGAGAAGTACTTCATATGGGTGGTAGAACAATTAGTAACCTTTATACTTTCCTAAATTTTCTAAATGTTCTACAATGTGCCTAAGAACTTAGATAAATTAAAAATTTAAAAATTAATAATGCATAAAATAAACTCACCCCTACAAACACAGAAGGTTTATAAAGGAGTTGGAATTTTCCTGTTAGTCAGCTTTTCATCACTATGAGAAATAACTGAGGAGGAAAGATTTATGTTTCAGAGATTATCAGTCCATGGTGGGACAGCTCCATTGCCTTGGGCTGAGGTGAGGCAGGGGAAGGTTGCTCACTTCTTGGCAGCCAGGAAGCAGAGAAAGAGAAAAAGGAAGGTTCCAGAGACAAGAAATTTCCTTCCAGGACATGCCTCTAACTAGGCCTCACCTCCTATAGTTTCTGTCACCCTCTATAATGCCATCAGATTGTTCATCAGTGAATTAACCCACTGATGAGCTCAGACCTCTCATAATTTCAGTCACTTTCCACAAGCTCTACCTTTGAACATTGCTGCATTGGTGACCAAGCCTTCAACAAATGAGCCTTTGGGAGATGTTACCGATCCATACCAGTACTAATAATTTTGTGTTTTCTTTCCAGATCAACTGGTGAGACTGCAGTCAGTGCTTTTGAGATTGACAAGATGTACACCCCCTTGTTCTTTGCCAGAGTAAGGAGCTATACTGCTTTCTCAGAAAGACCACTGTAGAGCCTCAAGTCCAGTCCCATCACTGTTGCATGAATAAAAGTATATAGTGCAAAAGAGCACCTAAGTTATAAATGTACATATATATATATATATGGAATTGGAACTTATTTTAAATTGTTGGAATTCTTTTAAGAAGAGTATAAATTGATTATTTTTTTTATTTAAAGGGATAGTTGATTCTTGGGGTGTTTTGTTTTGAAATTATAAGTTGTTTGAGCAAATTTATGTTATGAACAACCATAATAGAGGTTTTAATCATGTCCTTTTTCAAGCAAATTTCCATCACATAAATTGTCTTCTTCCTGATCATTTTAATATCTAATTGAATCAGGAGAGAGCTTTACCGAATAAGTATTTTATTTCCTGCATGACATAGTATCTTTGCACTAAGGCTCAAAGTGTGAAAACTTGTTCTGGATTTGTTTGAAACTGTTGAACCAATAAAGATCATAAATGTTTCTTTCAAGGAAATATATTTGACTAAAAATGTGAGATTATTAAATAAACAGTCCTAGGATAGCCAGCAAAGACTTAAAAATCACTGCCTTATTTCAATATTCATCTTTATATTTAGTTGAAACTATGTTCTGACTTCATCCAGGTACTATACAAGTGTGTGTCAAAAAGTGAATCTCTAAGGACTGGAACTCTTCAACAAGCTCATCTGACTCAGATCTGCTTCCAAATTCATATTGACATTAAAAAAAAAAAATGTTCCCACAATTCAGTAGGAATTTTTTTTAGAAAGCTCATATGTTAAGACTGATTGTGTCCCTGGGTTTTCATCCCCATCATCAATTTTCAAGTTATAAAAGAAAAAAAAAACACATGCCTAAGATAAGGCAGATGTCCATGGTATGACTTTTTTTTTTTTTTTTTTTTTTTTTGAGACAGGGTCTAAGTTGCTGAGTCTGGCCTTGAACTTGGATCTTCCTGCCTCAGTAAGATTACAGATATGCTCCACATGACTATTTTTGATAAATTAATAGAACATATGATTGGCCTATAGTCATATAGCTAGAAAAATATATTCTTAAGGAAAATGGAATTTGAGAAGTCTGGTGTTTTGTAGTTTGTTCCTGGATCAGGTAATGGACACTGAGTTCAAACAGGGATACTTTTGCAAGTGCTAAACCAACTTTCTCTTATTTAGTTTAGAGGTAGAAATAGTAACTTTTTACGAAGTAGATTCTCTCTATACAATATTTTTTTAAAATACCAGAGCAACATACATTTATTTTGAGAAAATGAGAATACACAAAGAACAAAAAGACAGGCAAGTGGAGCAAACAGAAACTAGAAACCCAGATCTGTGAGTTTGTAGCTAGGTCTGCGTGGGCCTGTCTGAGCCTAGCAAGAGCTTGATTGGGCCAAGCAAACCCTGGAAACTCAGAAAGGAGCATTTTTCCCAGGAGAACACAGGTTAGAAAGGCTGGAGAGATACCCATTCTCCCCAGCCCTATGAGTCCTGCAGCCTGCAGGGGATGACAGGGCTGGCTGTAGTAGGTCAGGAGACTAGAAGGTTGGGTGTGAGGGTACTTGGCTCTTGGCTTGCCCACCAGGCCCACCAGCTCTGTCCCTGGCTCCCTCCCCAGTCTAGCACACCCATTGGATCAGAGACATGCCAGGTGCTGCACCAGTCTAGCACTCACTTGGGCCCTCCGGACCTTGAGTCCCCAGTTCTCCCAACCCTCAGACCTTGGACCACAGCTCAGCCTACTAGGCTCACAGCTTCACCATTGGCCCATAGCCCTGCAAGCCAGGCTGCCACCTGGCTGCCAGGCCTATCTGGCCCAGCACACATCTTGGCCACTAGTCCACAGGACCTAGCATCTGCCCCTGATCCACCTGGCCCAGGCCAGCTAGGCCCCTAGGTCATGGCCAGTTGTGTCATTGCCCAGCTGCAGCACAGCTTGCTTAACACATCAATCCACTACTAGGCCCATCTACCCCAGCTAATGGCTTCACCATTTGTCCTACCCAAACTGATGTCCCAAGAAGGGAAATTGGGAAGTCTTAAACCCCCACCTTCAACTCGATGAGCAACAAAATAAAAAGGAAGGACTCGGCAACCCACATATTCCCACGCTTAGACCATACCTCAAGAAGAAACAAAAATAAAATCAGCTGGGCATAGTGAACATATACTCACTGACTGTTTTGTCCATGATAGTGGAAATGACTCCTTAATTTCTTAGCATTTCACCAAGATTTTTCCTTTTTTGTTGTTGTTGTTGTTTTGTTTTCCTTTTTGTTTTTGGTTTCTATATTGAGTTTTTTATTTGGATGTTTACTGATTGATTCAAGCACTTCTGTACATACACATACTTGTTTCTCCTCATTTCTAGCCCCCCAMCCCCYTTTTTTCTTTTTCTGAAGATGTTATTTTCCCATGCTCTTTATTTTGAGGGTTAGGGGTTTTGATTATCATATTTTGTTTTGTATTGTCTTTGCCTCTACTCTGTCTCCCTTTCTCCCTCTCTTTTTTCTGTCGCTGACACCTAAATTCCATTTTCTCTCTTCTCTTATATTCTACTTTTTCTTCCCCTTTCACATTAACAACGTATTCTAAGTTACCACTATATCTGCCCTATTCATCCTTTGAAATTGCAAACAATTTTCTGACCTCTGATCTCTTCTTCTTTCCTCATCCTCAACTCTATCCTTAACACCTCATAATACTAATTGATGTATATAACGTCTGCCCCTACCACCAATGTCACAGCAATAAGTAATACAGCAGAAGTCAGACAACACCTATTTGATTTTGAGCCAAACATAATTCATGACTCTTTTTTGTTTTTACTCATGGAAATGCTGATCCTACTGTTCCTACATAGTGTACCAGTTAACAGTAGACATCAAAATAGGATCTAAGTACCTGTCTACTGCTTTATATTGTTTGCATAGATTGTTGCTCTTATTGCCCCACCCCATCTGTAAGGTACCAGTAACATAGAGGGACCCYATAAACTCATAAAGTAGAAACTCTACAGCATCTGATTTATCCACATAGTTGGGTAGACCCACAAACAATATGAAAAAGCAAGAGAACAAACCATCCCAAACAATACAGAATACCTCAATGATAGACTCCATTGATACCACAATGGAGGAAATGTCAAGACATGAAATCAGAAAGTTCATGCTTAAACTTATCTATGAGTTAAAAGATGACATAAGAAATGAAATCAAAAAATAAGTGAAAGATCACCTTAATAAAGAGAAATTCTGAAGAAGACTCAGTTGGATACCTTTGAAATGAATCAATAAACTGAACTAAAAATTCATTGGAAAGCATCACCAACAGACAGGACCACTTGGAAGACAGAGTTTCAGGCATTAAAGACAAAATATATAACCTTGAAAATAAAGTTGACCATGGAGAAAAGATGTTAAGAGACCATGAACAGAACGAGAAATATGGGATAAAATGGAAAGACCAAACAATATTTACTGGGACAAATGAAGGCTTGGAGATGCAAACTAAAAGATGCACAATTTTTTTCAATGAAATAATATCAGAAAAATTTCCAAACCTTAAGAATGAATTGGAAAACCAAATATAGCAGGTTTATAGGACCCCAAAATATACAAAATTACAACAGACCCAACAGATCAAAAGACAGACTGGCAGATTGGATTAAAAAACAAGACCCAACAGTATGCTGTCCAAGATACTCACCTGATAGGCAAAGACATCCACAGAATGAAGGTTAAAAGATGGTCAAAAACATCTCATTCACATAGATCTTATAAACAAGCAGGGGCTTCTATTCTCAGATAAAGTGAACTTCAAGCCAAAGTTAAACAGAAGGGACCAAGAAGGTCATTTCATCCTGCTTAAGAGAATTATACATCAACAAGACATAACAATCATAAATATTTATGCCCCAATGGAGCATCTATGTACATCAAACAAACCCTTCTAATTTTCAAGAATCAAATAGACCACAACACAACAATACCAGGTAACTTTAACACGCCCCTCTCATATAGACCCTCCAAACAAAAACTCAATAAATAAGCTATAGAGGGCTGGGGATGTGGCTCAAGCAGTAGCGCGCTCGCCTGGCATGCGTGCAGCCCGGTTTCGATCCTCAGCACCACATACAAACAAAGATGCTGTGTCCGCCGAAAACTAAAAAATAAATATTAAAAAAATAAGCTATAGAACTAACAAATACAATTACAGACATATATATAATATTTTATCCATCATTGACTGAATACACTTTCTTCTCAACAGCACACAGATTCTTCTCTAGAATAGACCATATCTCAGGTCACAAATCAATTCTTAGCAAATACAAATAAATAGATGTAATAGCTTGCATTCTATCAGATCATGGTGAATGAAATTAGAAATCAATGATAACATAAAAAAAATAGAAGTTGCTGTAACACCTGAAGGCTGAATAATACAATATTGAATGACCAATGGATAGCAGAAGAAATTAGGTATGAAATTAAAAAAAACTTAGAGGTAAATAAGAATAGCAATACAACTTATTAAAATCTCTGGGACACTGTGAAGGCAGTTTTAAGAGGAAAGTTCATTGCATTGAGTGCATTATTTAAAGAATAAAAAGTCACCAAATAAATAACCTAACCTTACATCTCTACGTGCTAGAAAAAGAACAAATCAATACCAAAAGCAGAAGACAGGAAATAATTAAAAATCAGAGCTGAAATCAATGAAACTGAAGCAAAAAAATAAAAAAAAAATCCCAAAAATCAATGAAACAAAAAGTCGGTTCTTAAAAAAATCAAATAAAATTGATAAACCATTAACCAAGCTATGAAGAGAAAGAAAACTCAAAGTACTAAAATTCATGATGAAAAGAAAATGTCATGATGGACACTACAGAAGTACAGATGATAATCAGAAACTATTTTGAAAATTTATACTTTAATAAAATAGAAAATCTTGAAGACATCAACAAATTTGTAGAGACATGTGACCTACACAAATTGAATCAGGAGGACATAGAAAATTTAAACAGATCAATTTTAGGCAATGAAATTAAAGACACCATCAAAAGCCTACCAACAAAGAAAAGCCAAGGACCAGATGGATTCTCAGCCAAGTTCTACCAGACCATCAAAGAAGACCTTCTCAAATTATTCCATGAAATAGAAAAGGAGGGAACCCTTTCAAACACATTCTATAAAGCTAGTATCACCCCAATAACCAATACTAGACAAAGGCACATCAGGGAAAGAAAACCTCAGACCAATACCTCTGATGAACATAGATGCAAAAATTGTTAATAAAATACCGACAAGTCATATATGAAAGCATATTAAAAGGACAGTGTAGGGCTGGGGATATAGCTCAGTTGGTAGAGTGCTTGCCTTGCATGCACAAGCCCTAGGTTCAATCCCCAGCACCCCACCCCCAAAAAAAAAGGATAGTGCAACATGATTGAGTGGGGTTTATCTCAGGGATGCAATGTTGGTTTAACATGCA